CTTTTTCTTAATACAAGTTGTCTGTTTTTCTGTATTCACTGATCTGCAATAGACATTAGGAAACTTTCATAGGTTTTGAAGAAGATAACAAAAATGTGTACAATGATGAGTATATTGAGGTTGCTATGATTCCATTCTTGCCTATAAATTTTCTCTATTCTGCTATTTTGTATTTCATATCTTTCATGAGAAAAAAATGTCCTCTGTCACATGAAATTCTGATGATAGTACATAATATTGGATAAATATTTTTGTGTCTATAATTCACAAAATAAAATACAGGTAATATTTTCCAGCACCCTTATTAAGATCAGTAGACAACAGATAGCAAGAGAGAGAGAGAGGATTCCTTTTGTTCAGTTGGCATTAAATATTTTCCTCTTAAAGAAAGAGGATTTTGAATTGGGAATTTATCCCCCAAGAACAGAGAACCCTCATAAAATACAAAGATGGAGTAGTTTCTGGTCCCCATCTTGATAGAATAAATGGGAGAATGTTGTATTGACCTGACTTCTGACTCTAGTGTTAGCCTTATCTGAAACCCCTGAAAACGTTCAGCTATTGTGTGTTCTCTTTTTTTTTTTTGAGACAGAGTTTCACTCTTGTTATCAAGGCTGGAGTGCAGTGGCATGATCTCGGCTCACTATAACCTCTGCCTCCTGGGTTCAAGAGATTCTCCTGCCTTAGCCTTCTGAGTAGCTGGGATTACAGGTGCCCACCACCATACCCAGCTAATTTTTTGTATTTTCAGTAGAGATGTGGTTTCACTATGTTGGCCAGGCTGGTCTCGATCTTCTGACCTTGTGATACACCCACCTTGGTCTCCTAAAGCGCTGGGATTACAGGTGTGAGCCACTGCACCTGGCCTTCTTTTTTGTAAAATCTCTTTTCTACTATCAGTGCTGATTATTTTTAGTGACTGTGTTAGTCCATTCTCACATTGCTATAAAGATATACCTGAAACTGAGTAATTTACAAAGAAAAGAGGTTTAATCAGCTCATAGTTCTGGGGGTTGTACAGGCTTCTGCTTCTGGGGAGGCCCCAGGAAACTAACAATTGTGGCAGAAGGCCAAGGGGAAGCAAGCACGTCTTCACATGGCCAGCAGGAGAGAGAGAGCAAAGAGAGAGGTGCTACACACTTTCAAACAACCGAATCTTATGAGAACTCTATCATAAGATAGCACTAGGGGGATGGTGATAAACTGTTAGAAACAATCATTATGATCCAATCACCTTCCACCAGGCCCCACCTCCAACACTCGGGCTCACAATTCAACCTGAGATTTGGGTGGGGTGGGGAGGCAGAGTCAAACCATATCAGTGACTAATTTCTGTGGTCTGCAAGCAGATGTCTTATGAGGGTCCCTGGGCTCTTCTCTTGAGAGCAACAGACACAGAGCCCTGTTAATCACTGCCCTCCAGGTATTTGAAGATGCTCAGCTGCTCATTCCAGTGACATTCGTCATGCTGTGATATGAATTAATATTTTTCGCTTCCTTTTCAACCTGTGGTGGTTCCTTGGCCTTCAATAGATCATTTAGAAAGTCAAAATAAATATTTAAATTGGTGTTACAATAATATGTTTTATCTTATTGGCCTTGCCTTTATTGGGTGATAATGATGGTAATGATAATGGTGATGATGATGGTGGTAATGATGATGGTGATGGTGATGATGATGGTGATGATGTGATGATGACGATAGTAACAAAGATGGCAATGATGCTGGTGATGATGATCGTGATAATGGTTATGATGGTAGTGATAATGTTGATGATGGTGGTGATGATGATGATGGTGATGATGATCATGATCATGATGATGATATTGATGATGGTCATGATGATGATAGCTAATATTTTTGACCACTTACTATATTCTAGCCATTATGCTAAGCATTGTATATACATGATCTACTGAATCCCCACAATCATTTTGTGAGATATGCATTTTTAATATTTCCATTTTAAAGATGAGAAAGGGAAGGATTAGAGGGACTAAATCCTTATAGAAGAAAATAAATCAATATGCAAAGAGAAACAAAATTTGTAGATGGGGGAAGAGAACAACCAAGACAGAGAAGTGATCATTTGATTTGACTCCTAGATGAAACAATACCTGAAGCTATCATCATCCCCAAACCTCAGTTTTATGAGCCAATAAATTCTTTTTTCCTTAGAATATTTAAGAGTCTTAATAGTATAACTACAACTATCCTTGATGGTTTTTACATGATAGCTCAGCAGATACACCCATTACAAGCTAAATAGAGGTATTCACTTAAAAAGCTATATGTTCCCCCACTGCCCAGTGTCAGTACACAGGAGTAATGCCAGTCACTTTTTCTCCCCCAGGTCTCAACGCACAGCAGTAGCAGCAGAATCAATTCCCTGTGCCTCCTGTAATTGCCTGTGTCTCCCTTTCTCAAAAGGCCAGCTTTCTCACAAGGATAGCCTGAAACATACAGAAGTGGGAGTGATGTTCCGTTCTCAGGTGAAGTGTTTGTGCACATGTATGTGTCAGGGGGAGAGGGAGGTAAGCAAAACTGGTTGTTCTCAGATGACTTGAAGCACCTGAGCATGTCCTTTATTTTATCTTGTTTTTTAAAAAAATTACTTAATAGTATTTTCACTTCCTAGTTTCTCCATCATGTTGAAGTTGAATAGTCTTTGGTAGGTTCTGTCTTGCTTTTCAAGAACATTATTTGAATTCCGCAAAAAGATAGCTACATGAAAAGCTATCATTTTATTGTTACAAAAATATGTGACACACTTACCTTAGGTTGTTAAAGGGTGAATGCTATCCTGCATATATCCTTTAAACAGGCTTCACAAGAAGAGGATGGTCCCATTTCTGAACATTGCCTTGTCAATGGAAGAAGAGCTTTGCACTCAGTCAACCTGGTTAAGCTGGAATCATATTTCCCTGAATCTCTTATCCTGTTTGTTTCCTGGTGATGACTGGCCAACCAAATAAATTTAGATGTGATTTGGATAGTAAAAATGAAAGCACAGTCACTGATCACTGAAGTTCATTGTGGGTACAGGTGGCAGCTAAGAGCTAGCAAGGTACCAGTGGGTTTTACAAGTCTTTTCTTTAATCTTTATCCTGCTCTTCTTGTCCATTGCCAGATTTCTTGACCAACAAAGGGCCAATCCGACTGCCACAAGTCTGACTGCAGACCTGCAGAAGCAGCAGCAACTCGAAAGGACAGCGTTCTACAGGCTTTCCCTGCACTGCCCTTCACAGCCCACTCTGAAGCTAGACCTGCCTACTCCCCATACACCCTGAAAGCTCCTACTCATCCACTCAACCTCAGCTTGCTCCAGTGTTCCAGGAAGACTGAGTTGGTTTTCCTCGGGCCTTCCAACACTTGCCCTTCTCCCCCAAATATTACAAGCACTCATTCTAAATATATCCCTGATTTCATAATGTGAATAGAAGTGCTGCTTCTCTGATTAAACCCTGACTGACACATGGGGTGTTTTATTACCATTTAATAAACATCATGTCAAACCTAGTGATTTATGGTCAACATGAATTACAGAGGGAAGGTGAGCAAAAGAATCTCTTTCCTTTTTCCCTCTATGCTGTTCTAGTTTCAGCTGGCCTGAGCTTGCCTCTCTTGGACTCTTCAGTCTAACAGCTAACCCATTTGTGCCACAAAGATCAAAGATCAGATTCTTGAGCTACATTAAGGCTGCTACTTTAAATGACAGCACTATTTATGGACTGTTTATTGAAGACAGATCACCCTTGGAGGCCGCCACAACCTTTACTCATAAATCAGACATCCAGTGCCTCTTGGAGGCTAAATACTGCCTCTCCTGTTGAAGACATGAAGGGGTGTAACATATACTCAATTTGCTGCCACTCCAGGATTTAGAATGTGCTTACTACCTTAACGCAGAACTCAAGGTCCAGACAAGGAAATTTGGTATTTTTTTCTTCCTTTTTCTTTCTCTGCCAGCCACACACACCAGCTGGTGTTCCCAGGACACTGGTAACTGTGTGTAGGCTGAGCTTTAGCTTGGAAGAAATAAATAATCTATAGAAAAAAATACGCCAGAATATTTTCTAATAAAAATCAAGGAATGACCATTGCATCATTCCACGTGCCAACAGAATACACTAATTGAAAATTTTCCTCTGAATCTCAATGTTTTCTAACAAAGATTATTCGTAGAATGTAGAACAGTGTGGTAGGTCTAACTTAGTTGTTTTCAACAGGGGCAATTTTGGCAACGTCTTGGGACTTAATTGTAGGTAATTTGTTTAAATCCTCTATGTCTCAATTTCCTTACCTTTAAAGAAAATAGAAAACATAATAATGCCATAAGGTTGTTGCAAATAATAAATGAGTTGGCCAGGAACAGTGGCTCACGCCTGAAATCCCAGCACTTTGGGAGGCCGAGGCAGGTGGATCACTTGAGGTCAGGAGTCTGAGACCAGCCTGGTCAACATGGTGAAACCCCATCTCTACTAAAAAAACAAAAACTAATTGGACATGGTGGTGCATGCCTGTAATCCCAGCTACCCCGGGAGGCTGAGACCGGAAAATTGCTTGAACCCAGGAGACAGACATTGTAGTAGGCCAAGATTGCACCACTGCACTCCAGCCTGGGCGACAGAGTGAGACTCTGTCTCAAAAATAGACAACTAAAAATGATAACAATAATAAATGAGTTAATACTTGTAAAAAACCACTTGAAACAGTGTCCATTGTTTATAAGTACTTATACGTGCTAGCTCTTATGGTAGGCATACAAATTGAATAAAGAGACTCTCAGGGTGGTGAATGAATTCCCTTTGTAACATAATTTGAGTTCATTCTACTTGTAATCTAACACAAATCTTATTAAGCCATATTAAGCCACAATGCATCTAAATGGACAATTTGCTGACCTTGAAACTGAGAGAATGGGCTAAGAAATTATATTGATGATGATTGCATGATGGTTCATCAAGAGACCAGGACGGAGCCAGGATAAGTGATAAGAATGGGCATTTGGGCATCCATCGTCAAGTTGATCTCACAAGGTAAGAGGCATCTGCATCTCACCTGGGGAGGCTGGGCTCCTGCTACCCTTCGTGGAAGATCGATTTCCACAGAGGCTGGTTTCCTGCAAAGCACTGACCCCAGAACAGCACAGGGGTCTGGGGGCTTTTCTGTCTTGTTAAGTAAAATTTACAAAACATAATTTATCTTAGTTTAAGTAGAAAATTGAAGCGAGTGAAACTTGACTCAAATGTACTAACAAGTGGGAGTCAACAGAGACCAGTGGTGTGTCCTGCAGTCCAGGTAGGAGCCAACTTCCAGAAATACCTGAGCGCCAAGCTGCCTATTGGGGCAGAGGTCACAGGGGATGTGGGTTGAAGGGTAAAAGTCTCCGTTAGGATGAATAGACTCTGGAGCTCTGTTAGACATCATGGTGACTCTAGTTAACCATCGTGGACTGTGTAGGTAAAATTTGCTAAGACAGTAGATCTTAAACGCTACCAAAGGCCTCCCCAATGGTAACTAGGCTAGGAGATGGATATGTTAATTGGCTTGTGTTAATCATTTCACAATGTATACCTCTAGCAAAACATCCTGCTGTATACCATAAATATATATAATTTTTATTTTTCAATTTTACCTCAATAAAGCTGAGGGGGAAAAAATTGTCCAGCCTGGACAACATAGTGAGACCTCATCTCTGCTAAAAATAAAAAATAAAACAGTAGCTAGGCAAGGTGGTGCCCACCCGTAGTTCCAGCTACTTAGAGGGTGGGGTGGGAGGATCGCTTGAGCCCAGGAGATCAGGGCTTCAGTGAGCTATGACTGTGCCACTGCACTCCAGTCTGGGCAATGGAGTGAGGCCTCATCTCAAATAAGTAAGTAAATTAAATAAATAAATAAATCATCTAGTAAATGAGTTCTGAAGCTGGACCATCTGACTTGGAGTCTCGGCTCCATCACCTACCAGCCGTGTGACCTTGAGCAAGTAAGTAACTGGACTTCTTTAAGCATTTGCTTTAAGCATTTGTTTTCTTGTGTGTAAAATTGGTATTATGAGAGTACATCGTTTTAGGGTTTCCATAAAGATTAAATAAGTTACTTCAAGTATTATGCCTAGAAGAGCATCTGCAGGTCTAAAGATACTTCTAATATTGCAAGGTAGATGACTTTAATTTGACATGTCTGCCTCTCGGTGTCTCCATCGTTAAAATGAGGCTAACACCGTATGGCTTCACAGGAGTCATTCAGGCAACAAAGGGTCCTGTGATGCACACTGTGCCCGGCCCCGCTGGAGAGACTGTGAAAGCACTGCTCCCTCCAGGGAACTCACACGGGGGCCGGGCCGGGGGACCTGAGAGATAGATAATCGGCAAATATCGCTTCTCGGCCTTTCGGCTAAGATCAAGTGATAATCAGCAAGTAAATGCAGACGAGTGAGAGCTGGGGAACTCTGGGCACAACTTTACAGCTTCGTGGTTCATATTCTAGAAGGAAGGAAGGTTGGATGAGGCCCCAGTGCATCGGTTGGAAATAATGGACTATGTTTTATTTCTCAGTGGACTGAGGAGGAGAGCAATATTTAAGTGTGTGTGTGTGTTTGTGTGTGTGTGTCAGAGAAAGGGAGGGAAGGAGAGAGACAGAATAACATATTTCTGCTGCTTTAGGAAGATCAGACAGTCTCCAGTCTCCATCTGCTTTATAACTGCAACTGCTTCCCAAGGTCATGTGTAGGCTACGCAAATCAAAGGAGTCTTGGGAAATTCTCAGCAGTGTGTGTGTGTGTGTGTGTGTGTGTGTGTGTGTGTGTGTGTGTGTTTTCTACGCAGAGCTATTGAAAGCCACATTTTGCAATTGCCCTTTTGTTGCCAAAGGGTTCAGGAGAGTTTCTGGATGCTAGTGGGACCCTAGCCCCAGCAGTGTCCAGGTTCTTGACACCATGGAGAGAAAGAATTCGATGACAAATCAGAATAAAGCAAAAGACAAGAAGCTTTTACTGTAAAGTAAAAGTACACATGTAAGAGAGAAGTGCAGGCGTGCTCGGGAGAGTGAGAAGCACGCAGCAGAATTTGTATGTTTAATTTTACAGGCTCTTCTAATTAGGCAGTGGAATAATCATGGTATTTTCTAGGAAAAAAAAAGGTAGGGATTCTTAGAATTGGAGTGCCACCCATTTTTATACTAAATATATCATGGTGCTCGTGGTTCTGTGATTTTGTATGGTAACGAGTGTACAATTAGGTCTGGGGTAGGGCATAAGTCAAGTCCATCACCATGTCAGATCCAGCTGGTCTTAACCAGCTTGGCCCCCCACCTTGTTTGTTGGGGTCTTATCAGCCCAGGCTTGTCTTTGTCCTTGTCACTAATTCTAACAGCTCCTTTCCTGCAGTTATGTGAAATTGCTGCTTCATATTTTCCGGGTTCTCCTTACCGTATGATGGTTCTCCACCCAGCATTCCGATTTAATTGGTGTTTCTTTAATTAGGAGGTTGAACAATCATTAGGTGTTCCAGAAAAAGAGAATGATATGGTTTGGCCGTGTCCCCACCCAAATCTCACCTTGAATGGTAACAATCCCCGCATGTCAAGGGCAGGGTCAGGTGGACATAATTGAATCATGGAGGTGGTTTAAATGGTAGTGAATAAGTCTCATGAGATCTGATGGTTTTATAAGGGGAGTCCCCTGTACACGCTCTCTTGCCTGCCACCATGTAAGACATGGCTTTGCTCCTCCTTGCCTTTCGCCATGATTGTGAGGCCTCCCCAGCCACGTGGAACTGTGAGTCCATTAAACATCTTTCCTTTATAAATTTCCCAGCTTCAGGAATGTCTTTATTAGCAGTATGAGATCAGACTAATACAGAGGGGATGTCAGGGACTCCCCAAGAATGCCTCGTTTCTCCCTTAACTGGGTTTGCCTGGAAGAGTCGTGAGCCCGTCACCCTGACTGGGTTTTGGCTGGTTTTGTTCCATATTTTGGGTTTTCAGTTATCCTGGGTTTCTTTGTGTAGTTCTTGTTTCAGCTGTTGTTTTGGTTTTTCCACCCTGTGACTCCCCAGTGCTATTCCTATCCCACCCTGGCCTGGCTGAGATGTTACCACAGCTGCCTTCTCCCCACTGCAGGCAAATGGAACTAACTTAGAAAACCAGTGAGCTGGCTTCAAGCTCATCCTGGGACGAGAACTTTCCAATATGCTGTATCAGGGGCATACTCCCAGGATGAGTGGGTTGTCCAAGCCCAATCCTCCTCTCTCAGCCCTGTTGAGGGTTATCTTCATGTGCCCAATTTTGGAGACAAAAATTGATTCTTCATTGCTAGCATCTATCTCTTTCATTGTTATTTAATCACAGGAGTTTTTCTTTATTCTATTTTCTTTTGAAATGCCTTCCTGGCTCAGGACTCCCTGCGGTGCTCCACTGATGGAGACTGCTGTGACACTGTGGGCAAGCACACTTCCTTTCCAATGTTGCACTGGGCCAGCCCTAGGTGTGTGGGGGGGGACTGGGCCTTGCCTCCAGGGTCTGCAGACACAGAGGGTGCTGCCCTGGGGATTGGGGAGGGGATGAGGCTGGTGTCTGAAAGCTGTTCATTCACTAGAGGCAGGGTCAGGAGAGGGGTCAGACTCCGACTCACACCCCCTGCAGATCAAGCCAGAACAGAAATCATCTGGTTGCACCGCGGCAGAGGCAACTTCCATGAAAGAAGAGATAGCGCACTGCGTGCAAATCAGCGGGAAAGGCTGGGGGAAGACCGAAAGTTTGGATTTCTCCTGCCCCATGGTGCAAAGCCCAAACCAAACCAACTAAAAACCTGCTGTTGCAGGGACAATGCTGTGGGAAAAGGGAGGAACTTTCACCTAAATAGTTAGCACAGGCTTACTGTGTTAAAAACTCAATGAGTCAATAAGGGTGAAGAGTGAGCGATTATCCTTTCTCTGGTGTGTTTCCGCATGTTTGAGTGTTTTCCCCTACACATTTATAAATGCAGGTACACGTCCATTTATACAAACACGTGTACATCCCTTGTTCACACGGTCGTGCACGCTGCTCTTTTTCCTCTCAGTGTATCTGGAAGATGGTTCCGAATCAACTGGATGGGATTTTTAATTTCGAAGGCACGAGCTCTCCTGGCATCCGCCAATGTGACCCGCAATTTTGAGAGGAAGAGGAGCGCAGACCTCCTGCCCGGAGTGACGGTCAGGAGGGAGGTGGGGGAGGGCTGGGCCCCTCTTGGTGTCCCGGGTTCCCGGCAGAAGTCTCCAGGACTGCGGGAGTCTGCAGACGCGGAGTTTCCGCGCCAAAGGAGCGGGTCGACGCGGACAGGCAGTTCCAGCCCCGGGTAAGAGCGGCCCCATCTCCTCCCCGTCCCCGGCGCCGCCAGCAGCAGCCCTGGAGCGATTTCCCCTCCCCGCCGCCCGCGCTCTCTCCTCCTGCGCCCAGGCCGGTCTCCGGCTCCGGATCCGGGCGGCGACGGTGTAGATGGGGGCGCACAGGGGACGGTCCTGGAGCCCAGGAAGGGTGCGAGCTGGAGGCGGCGGTTCAGAAAAGTTGTCAGGTCTCCAGTGCGGGCAGCGGCGGGAGCTGGAGCCGCGGTCAAGAGGACCCCAGGGGACGTAGCCCGCCTGGCACAAACGGCCACGGGTGCGAGGGAGTCGACGAGCTGGGAGGACGCGGTCACCGCTGGTGCGGCGCACTGGGCCCGGTGATTGGCGCCTTCCCCTGCACAGGTGAGGCTGGGCAGAGAGGGCATCCGTGGCGTGGCCTCTCTGGGTGCGGGATGAGGGGACACACTGAACGTGGGGTTAATCTTGGGGATCGGGCTGGGGCGCTGGATAGGTAGACACTGTGGGGCTCCGCGGACCCTATCGCCTACCTGGACCTCCCGCGGATCACTTGCAGATCCAGCGCCAGGAGGCATGTGGCGGACGGGTCTTGTCCCTTGCTTTCCCCCTCCCCAGGACTTGGCGGGACTATGAGGATGGAGAGCCCGGGTCTTTGCGTTCCTTTTTCCCCAACCACGGAGCTCCATGCCTCCTTCACTTCAGTTAAATTCAGACGGGGAGGGTCCCAGGGACGAGCCAGTCTCCCTTCACCTGTTTCCCTTCCATCCTGTGGTCCTGAGAGCCAGGCTGTGCCCCCCGAGGAGCAGGCGTTCACAGCGAAGCTCGCAGGGGGTCCCAGGTTGGCAGACATGCGGGATCATCTCGACAGACACCCGAGATCCGGTCCGATGTGGTTTGAGGATTGCTAGGAGGGGCTGGGGGTCTCTGGTGGATGGCTACAAGAATGTAGAACAGAACTGGGCTCTCCAGAAGGCCTTTCACCCCACTCCTCCATCTCTGTAGCGCGGATTACCTCATCTCAGAGGGAATTTAGTGGGTACGTTAGGCACACAGCACAGCGCCTGAAGCGCATTAAAAGCTTAGCAGCTGCTAACCACTGCCGTTATTATCATGCACACGTTGGGCCCAGGTAGAATCAAGCCGACCCACATGAGTAGCGGAGGTGGAGGCTTCCAGGTCCGGGAGAGCCACCTACGCGCCTTTCTGCGCCGGTTACCTGCACGCATGGTTGCGTGGATGGCGAGCAAAGTCTCACCTCGGGCTGGGAAGGTGGCTGCGCCTCTGTCCAGGGTTCCCGGGCTCCTGAGAGCAGGAGCGCTAAGAGAATGTCGTTTGCCTGCTTCCCGCGCGCCCGAGCTGTGTCCACAGGGCTGGGCTCTGAGCGCAGCAGCGAGACCACCTGTTGGTTAAACTTACTGTGCGGTGTGGGGTCTTCTTAGGTCTCTGCTCTCAATGCGGAGAGCTCTACCTTAGCCTGCTTACAGACAGATCTTCTAAGCACTTTTTCTCCAGCTGCCTCCTGCCTAAAGCCCTTTCAGCTCAGCTGGAAAATCAATAGGAAGGACATACTGCCAATTTCAGTGAGAAAAAAAAAATGTGTTTCCTTTTCAAAAGTCATGTGCAGCCTGAAATTCTGGGATATCCACTCTCCTTGAGCCTGCAGGTTTCCTCAAGAGCCAGACTGAACTTTTAAAATATGTTTTTTAAATACTGCCATTTTCTTTCAAGGCTTCCAGTTAGGCAGAGATGAGGGTGGGGTAGCAGATATCTTCCCTTTTTTCCTTTTATTTAAATTGCAAAGCAGATCTCCAGTATCAGGGTGCAGAATAAAACTAGGTGAGGAGACAGAGTGAGAGGGTGCAGAATAAAACTAGGTGAGGAGACAGACCACTATTGGCGGTGGAGTGGGCAGAGAAATTTCCCCAAGGAGGTTTACTGGGGAGCAAATATTTGAGTGAAGTGAGGGAAGAGGCCAGAGAACATCTGGGGAGGAGCTGTCCAGACAAGGGAACAGCTAGTGCAAAAGCCCAGAGGCTGGAATTAGCTGGGTGCGTGGAAGGAAGAACAAGGGCGAGACGGCCATGTGCCTGGGGCAGAGTGAGGATGGGAAAGGGGTCCTGAAGGGAGGTGGGCAGAGTCCTGAAGCTCATCATGTGGTCCAGGCAAGCCACATGTGTCTCAGATTAGAGCTGGGTCCGGTATCCACTCTCCTTTCTCTTCCTCAGGAGCAAACTCCTGATGTTTTCCTGGGCACTTGATTACCCAGAATAAGGACTGCCTTTGCCAGCCTCTTCTGCAGCAGGGTGTGGCTCTGTGCCTGGGTCCTAAGATTTTTTTTTTTTTTTTTTTTTTTTTTTTTTGAGACGGAGTCTTGCTCCGTCGCCCAGACTGGAGTTCAGTGGCGCCATCTTGCTTCACTCAAGCTCCACCTCCCGGGTTCCCACCATTCTCCTGCCTCAGCCTCCAGAGTAGCTGGGACTACAGGTGCCGCCACAGCGCCCGGCTAATTTTTTTTTTTTTTTTTTTTTTGTGTTTTTTTTTTAGAAACGATATTTCACCGTGTTAGCCAGGATGGTCTCGATCTCCTGACCTCATGATCCACCCACCTCATCCTCCTAAAGTGCTGAGATTACAGGTGCGCACCACCATGCCCAGCTAGGTTCTAAGATTTAGTATATAAAAGGGGGTGGCACCTGTAAACTCCAGGAAGTGAACTTCAGTGGAGGAAGTCGCCTTTCTTTGTCCCTATGTCATGGCTGGAAAACGAACCATTAGTAACGACAGGAGCTCTAGCAGCCGTTTTAGACCATGAGGTGTTCTTTGGAAACGGAAACTGTACAGTGGAACAGTAAGAGAAGTGAAGCCTGGATCTCCACTGCAGCTACACTACCCCTCAGCCTTGGCTGATGGCTTCTGGACTTTATGAACACAAGAGAAAAATTAACTTGTATTTTGTTTAACATATATATGTGTGTGTGTGTGATATATATATATATATATGTATGTATATGATTTTTTTTTCCTGTGACTTACAGGTGAACCTAAACTTACATGGAACCCCATGGTAAGAACCTACATTTTATTCTAACCCATCAGGAAACTATTGGAGACTTTTGGGCCAGGAAGTGACAGAAATTGTTTCACTTTTTAGTAGACTCATTCTGCTGCTGTGAGGGAGGAGACTGGGCCCAAAGGAACAAGAATGGACACACGAAAGGTCTGCTGAGGTTACGGCAAGTATCCAGGTGCATGAAGATGGCAGTTTGGACCAGGTGGCCATGGTGGAGGGAACAGGAAATGATCATCTTTAATATGAACTAGGATGAGTGTGATTAATACAGGTGATGAGAAAAGCCACAAACACATATATTATACATTTGACTTAGAGACATAGATCTGATTTTCCCATATAATATTTTCTTAAAACAGGTCATTTCATAGTTCCCATCTCCTTAGTTCATCTCCCCATGTTTCTAGTAGTTTACTAAACAGCACCACAACTGTTTGTATAGAATCCATCAGAAAGCAAGAATTAGGAAGACTTTTTAAAATTCTCATATTTACAATGAGAATAAATGAGGCAGAAGAAAGTGGTGCAACTTTCTATAATTCATCCCAGCGAATAAGTTTGATACCTGGTATTAAAAGATCTGAAAATATTGAAGCTTCAGTGAAAAGCAGATTGCTCCCAAGCAATTGTTAGACTTCTTAAGGAAAGAAAAAGTCAGCATTGCATTTACATGTGTTATTTTATATAAGTATATCCCTCTGTTTCTCTAATTCCAACATATGCTTTAGCTCATGGTTGGCATCTGAAATAGCATTTGATAATACCCATGGAAACATAGAGAAATAGATGTAAGAAATGTAAAATAAGGCCAAAACAATTGAAAGGAGATCAAATCCAGGGGAAATGTTGGACTGGGGTATACAGATTATGACTCTTTGATGGTTCCTGAGAGGGAAGTAAAGCTTTAACTCAGGATTTCCTAGCAAAAAGGAAACACAATTTATTACATGTTTCTCATTGTCCATGAGAAGAAAACATACCAGCCATAAAGAGGCCATGAAGGTGTTCCTGCCATTGAGATCTGAAAGAAAACTATCATGAACAGTTTTAGAGCAGAAATAATTACCCTGTAGGCTGAGACTTCTGCAGTTCACTGATAAGCATTATGGAGTCCATTTTCTCTTATTTTTTTTCTGAAATGTTGTGGTTGTTTGCATTTTTTCCTCTGAATGGGCTCCATAGTTTTAATTATATTTCCAAAAGGGTGAAAAGCTCTGAAACTGTTAAGCATCATTTATATAGAAAATAATGCAGTAGGCAGCATTCTCCAGGCCATAAAAGTTGCAATAAATGTGGCAGCAGGCTTCCTAAAGCTTTCCATGTATACAGGTTTCTTAGCAAAGTTGAGGGTCTGACAATTTTATTTTTATTCCTTACTCTATTTACTTTCCTCCTTTGTTGTCTTTATTATCAGCATGTGCTTCCTTCAAATGATGTCATTATCACGATGTTTGTTTCAGTATAGTTATTAAAAGCATGGGCCCTAGGGCCAGAAAGACCACCTGTAAATTCTGCCTTCACCACTCCCTCACTGTGTGCTGTGGGATGGGTAGCTTCAGGCTTCTGTGTCTCATTTTTCTTGCCTGTAAAATGAGGCTAGTAATAGATAACGCGACAGCATTGTGGTGAGATTCACATGAAGTAAGAAACGGAAAGCACATGTGTCCACGTCGGGCATATCGCACATGCTCAGGAAGTTGAGTCCTTTATCATTCTTGATGTTGCCTTCACAATCGTTGTTATCATGGACTTTCCTTTTGACATGCCAGAAGGCATCTCCCACATCAGGTTACTTAAAATGTCGGGCATTCTAATATTTTTGTTCAAATATTTATAGCGAACAAATAGAGAAATTTACAATTATCCTCACCTCCACATAACTGATCTTGATTTAGGACTGTGCACATTTAGCATTCACAGTAAGTGTGTATGTGTCCATCCCAGAACAGGAGACACGATAGTGTACAATGGGGAAAACACAGATGCCTCAACCCATCTGTCCACTCAATGTGTCCCTGCCCAGCAAGAGGCCATGTGAGTCTCAGAGCCCCTCTGTTGATTCCTTTCTTTGAGATTCTTGTCATTCTTGTCTTTAGAGACAGGATTCTCTGTGTGTGCTGTGTGTGTGTGTGTGTGTGTGTGTGTGTGTAGTTGCTTAACTGTTTTACAACTTAGTGCTTTGCTGTGTGTGTGTGTGTGTGTGTGTAGTTGCTTAACTGTTTTACAACTTGGTGTTTTAAACTCTAGATCTTCGACTGGGGCTCAGCAGAAACAGCAGCACTCTGTCGTAATGCTGAACGAAAAGCCATCTGTGCTAAATATATTGCAATACAGAACTTTGCCGTCTTTATGGCAGGTTTTGGTTTAAAGAGACTTTTTAGGAATAATCTGATGCTATGTGCATTCTGCTTCCATGTAGACTTTAGAGATTGAGCCCTTTTTATATGCCGCTTCACTGAACACTCAAACTGAAGTCAGAGATTCCCTGAGGGGAATGGCAATGGCTGAGTTTCAAGTAAGAGGCAACTCTGTGTGACTGGGTAGTTTAGCCAGTTCTACCTCTGCCCATCCTCACCCCAAACATACCTTTTTCCCAGAGAGATCAGAACCATAATCACCAAAGTCAGATGAAAATACACCTTCAATCTGCAGCTCTGGCGAGTCATTCCGTTCCACAATCTCTCTCTGAAAAAAAATGTCAGAGTAAAAAATATTCTGAATTGTGTTAATTTCTCTCTCTCAAAATTATAGTTCTAATTCTCCTTGTCAATCTATCTGCACACACACACATACACACTCACACGTGTGTGTGTATATATTTCATACATACAATTTCTATTATTCATAGCAGTTTTATTCCAATGAATTAATACCTACTGAACCATTGCTCCTAGGGAAACTGCAGAGATAGGTTTCTCTTAGTCTTTGTTTACACAACTGATCAATAGATAATTTTATGTGTACTTCTGTATAAAGACACCTTATTTAATATAGATGATTGATTCATTTTCATTGAATTCACAGCTGACAGCACTACATACCTCATGCCTGAGCAAAGTTTATCTAACACACATATTTTCTCCACGAGGCACACGACAACTTCCTCGTGCTTAGGAACTAACTACATGGCACTTCAACCCTACAGTTGGGGACTGTTTTAAACAGCAAAGTTCCTCTCAAAATGAACCAAAATAGGAAGAGCATGGAACTGAGTAGACCACAGAAGGACCGTTGCTCACAGAGCTGGGCAGGAAGGGAGGGCACTGCCTGTTTGACCTCAGGTTGGATGATTCACATTTTTTGCTGCTCCGCCCATGTACAAAAATGACTTCAGATGTTCCACAAGTATTGATATGGGGGTTAAAAATAAGGGCTAGTGAGGAGGCAAATTTGCAAATACAGAATGTCAATAATGAAAATTGACTTTGTGTGTGTGTGTGTGCGCGCGGGTGCGCATGTGTGTGTGTGCGTGTGTGTGCAGGTGCGTGTGTGTGTGCACGTGTGTGTGTGCATGTGTGTGTGTGTGTACATGCATATATAGGAGTGACAAGTGGCTGGCCCAATTCAAATTTATATTGATTAGATTGGAGTTACTTGTAGCCTTTATATGGTCCCGTAAGATGCATTCTTATTATAGCTGAGGAAGTGTAACTATTTTCTGCCGTAAAGCTTGTTGTAGTCATCTGCAATAAGGAAGTGGAATAATGTAATAAGGATTGTCCCTGTCCTTGAAAGAGACAGCTCTTATTAGTTTTGTCTTAGCTTTTGGGGTAGGAGAGCGTGTAGGACAGATTCTGTTGAGGATTTTCATGGAAAACTCAGCTAGGAAAAGGAACAGGTTTGGTTACTGTTTCAAATTAATGAGCCAGGTTCTTTCATTTCCGTCTTTGAGGTACAGGAAGGAATTCAGAGTGGTGTTACTGAGTGGATTCAGGATCTCTGACAAAATTGGAGAAGTTATCATTTATGTTTCAAAATATTTATCCATATAAAAAGTATGAACTGAATGGAAAGACTACTGGTGTAACCCCTTTTGTCACTGGAAAGTTATTGATTAGATATTTCAGTCTTTATAGAAGAATTCCAGAAAGATAGATGCCTTCATTATCTTGTCTGTAGTTGGTCAATTTTTCTAAAATGAGAATGTGTTCATCACTTTTCTTCTTCCCTTTTTCTCTTGTTTATAAGGATTTGATATTCTATGGTTTATCCTTCCCTCTCTTAAGGTAGAAGCTTCTTTTTTAAAAACCTAAGACATGAGACTTCGTGGGCCTCCATGGACTGTTTTTCCACATGCCCCATGTAATGGGAGCTGTGTAGGTACAGGAATGTCCTTTCACAGTGGTTCCCAGGGTGCTGCTTTCCTCTCCCAGCTTCAGAAAAGGACACCTGGGACCTCTGAGTTCCTCACTGGTGGTGGCAGCAGGGCTTCAACGTCCCCAGTTCTTATATCCTCACATAATCCTGTGAGTGTAAGAAATAATCTTCTGGTAGCTCCTGCACACGTTCTGAAGGCCACGCTTTCTTGCATCGTCCTGTAATACTCGGCGATAAACTGTGTGGCAGAGTCCCCAAAACTACCCCCAGATTCACTTATTCTCTGTAAGAACTCAAGGGATTCAGCACACAGGCTTACCTGCCGCTGTGAATTATCCCAACAAAAGATGTAAAGCAGAATCGGCAAAGACAAAAGGCTCACAGAGCAAAGTCTATAGGTCGCCGGCACAAGCTTCCAGGAATCCCCTCCCACTGCAGTCGTCCAGGGGGTGCCAGCTTTTGCATCCTATGGTAACAGCATTGTGAAATGTGGATCAGGGAAGCTCATGAGAAACGCAGCACCCAAGGTCTTTGCTGAGTCCTGGTTGCCTGGGTACTTTCTGCCTATCATGTACCTGAATCCAAAACTCTAAGGAAGAAAGCAGGTGTTCAGTATAGACTGTCCTTTGTGTGAAGAGTTTTATCACAATGCACCACTCTTCTTAGTTAGTGAAAGCTGGAAACTCTCACAAAATCCAAGTTTCCAGAGAGCAGTCAAAGGACAACCTTATAAGCAGATCTTTCTAAGGACAGCAGTCTCAGGCCTCCTACATCCTTTTCTGCACACGTAACCACCCTCGGCCTAGTCAAAGATTAAGTCCAAAGGGCGATACAGAGAACGTTAATTTCCTTAAGCAAATCAGGATTCACTAAGATGTTTCCTTGTGTTTTGGACTTTGGTTCGGCAAATCCCATTTAAGATTCTGCAGAAGAGACCCCCTGCCCTCCTTATTG